CTGTTATTATAATGTAATCTAGCTGCTATTATAGTGACAAGGGTTGGGATATTTAGCTGCTATTATAGTGATAAGGGTTGAGATATTTTAGCTGCTATTCTAGTATATTTAGCTGCTATTATAGTGACAAGGATGGATATATTTTAGCTGCTATTATAGTATATTTTAGCTGCTATTTTAGTGATAAGAATGGAGCTATTTCAGCTGCTATTATAGTATATTTTAGCTGCTATTATAGTATATTTAGCTGCTATTATAGTGTATTCTAGCTGCTATTATAGTATATTTAGCTGCTATTATAGTGACAAGGATGGATATGTTTTAGCTGCTATTATAGTATATTTAGCTGCTATTATAGTGTATTTTAGCTGCTATTATAGTATATTTAGCTGCTATTATAGTGACAAGGATGGATATATTTTAGCTGCTATTATAGTGATAAGAATGGAGCTATTTTAGCTGCTATTATAGTATATTTTAGCTGCTATTATAGTATATTTAGCTGCTATTATAGTGACAAGGATGGATATATTTTAGCTGCTATTATAGTGATAAGAATGGAGCTATTTTAGCTGCTATTATAGTATATTTTAGCTGCTATTATAGTATATTTTAGCTGCTATTATAGTATATTTTAGCTGCTATTATAGTATATTTAGCTGCTATTATAGTGACAAGGATGGATATATTTTAGCTGCTATTATAGTGATAAGAATGGAGCTATTGTAGCTGCTATTACAGTATATTCTAGCTGCTATTATAGTATATTTAGCTGCTATTATCGTATATTTAGCTGCTATTATATATTTAGCTGCTATTATCGTATATTTAGCTGCTATTATAGTATATTTTAGCTGCTATTATAGTATATTTAGCTGCTATTATAGTATATTTAGCTGCTATTATAGTGTATTTAGCTGCTATTATAGTGACAAGGATGGATATATTTTAGCTGCTATTATAGTATATTTTAGCTGCTATTCTATTATATTTTAGCTGCTATTTTAGTGATAAGAATGGAGCTATTTTAGCTGCTATTATAAAATATTTTAGCTGCCATTCTAGTATATTTAGCTGCTATTTTAGTGATAAGGGTTGGGATATTTTAGCTGCTATTATAGTATATTTTAGCTGCTATTATAGTATATTTTAGCTGCTATTATAGTATATTTAGCTGCTATTATAGTGACAAGGATGGATATATTTTAGCTGCTATTATAAAATATTTTAGCTGCCATTCTAGTATATTTAGCTGCTATTTTAGTGATAAGGGTTGGGATATTTTAGCTGCTATTATAGTATATTTTAGCTGCTATTATAGTATATTTTAGCTGCTGTTATAGTATATTTAGCTGCTATTATCGTATATTTAGCTATTATAGTGTATTCTAGCTGCTATTATAGTATATTTAGCTGCTATTATAGTATATTTTAGCTGCTATTATAGTATATTTAGCTGCTATTATCGTATATTTAGCTATTATAGTGTATTCTAGCTGCTATTATAGTATATTTAGCTGCTATTATAGTATATTTAGCTGCTATTATAGTGACAAGGATGGATATATTTTAGCTGCTATTATAGTGATAAGGGTTGAGATATTTTAGTTGTTATTATAATAAGGGTTGAGATATTTTAGCTGCTATTATAGTGATAAGGGTTGAGATATTCTAGCTGCTATTACAGTGATAAGGGTTGAGATATTTTAGTTGTTATTATAATAAGGGTTGAGATATTTTAGCTGCATTTGTTACATGTATTTTATGGTTATTGAAAATAAATATTACCATTATCTATTTTTTTTATTAACTGGGCTTCCAAAATTTACAATTCCCCTTGTCACTGTCAGTGATACAGGTCAGAGTGACTGATATGGAAAATACATTAACCTGAGCTCTGTGTGATTCTTAGACAGTTGGAATTAAACCAGCTAATGCCACTGTCACGACAAACTCTCATATTGTACACTGCACGGCATTGCCAGTCTTTATCAGCCCAATTAGGTGCTGAAAAATAGAATATAACTCCTTCTCATCTTTAACATTTAAAAAATTAGAAAAAACTTTTCTACCTGTGACATAAGATAGGTACATGCCACGCAGTGTGCAATAAGACAGAAATTGAGTCAATACAGTAACTATTTAGATATAACCTGAAATAAAAGGGGTGCTGAATAAAATATTTATTAAAATGAATGTCAAGGAACATGAACAATAAAAAATGCATTATTACATATACATGTCAGAAATATACACGTTAAAAATGAAGTGAAAATTTCGGTTAATTTTATCCATGAATGAGTAAATAATCAACTTAAACCAAAGTCAATTCTACATAAAACATAATGTTTGTTTCAAACTTTGATTTTAGAATAAGGTATATATGCTTATGCCTTTGAAATTTAGGGACATGCATCCCTGAACAATTAAAAGAAATAAATAACATGACAGTTATAAACAATACAATAATGCTATAACATTTTCATGATCAAATTTGATAAATCCTGGATTCTATAACATCCAAGTCGAAGATACAGTCCATTGTGTTTTAACATTTGGAGTATAATAAATGGTTATTGAATTCATACACATTGAGTGTTCCGTAGAGCAGTCAAATATATTTTCATTAACTACAGTGCCTGTACTCTCAAACAGTTTTTCAGATCCATAATGAGATGAGCCTCAATATCTTGATCCACATAACCATTTTAAATTTTAATATTAGTTGTGAAATCCAAGTTCAATTTGACAAACTTAGACCCAACGCTTCACTGCTAATTGTTAGATGTTTGAACACAATGAGTTCCCTAGGTCAAAGCTTTGTATAATATCTTTTGTTGTAACTAAGTAAGTTTGTGTGTGATTGCATATAGCACTAACTTTCAGTCAGACTTGAGTATTGCGCCGCTTTAAAACTTGTCTTAGACAAATTCACCGCGTAAACGCCGTGCTAGCCACAAATCTTTAGGCATTATTGTCACTCTTTTAGCATGAATAGCACAAATATTAGAGTCCTCAAATAAACTTACAAGATACGCCTCAGCTGCTTCTTGGAGAGCTGCAATGGCAGACGCTTTCCAAAAGAATCGGGTGCTTGGAAACAACTCCTGTACAACTTCACGGATTACACGAGAAAATGGCAGCTTCCGCAATAAAAGATTGGTTGATTTCTGATACTTCTTGATTTCTTTCAATGCTTTAGTCCCTGGTCGAAATCTTCTCTTTTGCTTCTGCGTAGTTTCATTAATTTCTGACCGAGCGTCTCTTCTTGAAGTTGAAGCGTTTGGCGACCTCCCCGTTCGGGACAATTGTTCCTTCCTTTTACGAACTTCAGCCAAATTTTTGGGGCTCTTTGACTTACGACCGTTTCCAGAACTTGGTCGTACCATACTGAATTTATTGGCTATACCATTTAAAGCTATTTAACAAGAAAAATAAACTTTTTTGGTTTCTTTTCACTCTTCGAGTTCAAAATAATCATTAGAGTTATCTGCCCGGAAGTTAGTCTAAATTGTCCAGCCTCACACAACTTCATTTCGCACATGTCAAACCGTCCATTTTACGAAAAATCGTCCATTTTCACGACAAATCGCCCACTTAACAAAGACTGTCATCGTCTTTGTCACATTTTCACTAAACTGATTTGAATTTTTAACCAGTTTACAGGATTGGGCTACCTCCTTTGGTGTGTAGAATCAGTTGGTAAAATTTAAAGCAAAATATCGATTTGATTCAGGTCAAATTGAATGATGCTTTTATCAGGCAGATAATCTCAAAACCTCAAAAACCTCCCAACTCACATAACAGAGCAAAACCGTACTACAGTGTATATAATATATCAACGTGGAAATCTGTTTTATATATTATTGGAAGAAACAAAACAGGAATAAATCAAGATGTTTATTCAATTCCCCCCAAAAAATATTTTTTGGCAGTTAGGATAAAATATCAAATATATAAATTGAAAAATAAATGCTGAATATTTGATTCCAGAAAATATCTACATAAAATTCCCTGTTCAGATAATTTCAGCACCAAAAATAAACATGAAATTTCCTTGATTTGATTGGCTTAAAGCTTAGGATTTACACAGAACAACAAATCAAATTAATTGTAACATTGAATGCTACATCTTCATTTTGATTGGGTTAAAGCTTCTGGTTTTATTCAGAACAACCAATCAAATAAATCGTAACATTGAAATTCACAAAAACAAAGAATGAAAAAGACTAGACAAATACAAAATGTTTTTCATTCACTTTCAAATGAAAATAATCGAAGTAGTCAGTTAAAATAGAGGTAGATCCTCATCTTCACGATGTCAAGATATTACAAACTTCTTCTTATACCTTGACTACAATAGTCACGTGCTTTTAATCATGAACAATCCAATCAAATTTACAAACTTGCATGATACAAGACAGGTGACTATTGTAGTCATGGTATTTGGTATTAGACGTAAGTAAGTATGACATTGTGAAGATGTAGATTGTAATAACTTGACATTGGAAAGATGAAGTTTGTAATAACTTGACATTGGAAAGATGAAGTTTGTAATAACTTGACATTGGAAAGATGAAGTTTGTAATAACTTGACATTGGAAAGATGAAGTTTGTAATAACTTGACATTGGAAAGATGAAGTTTGTAATAGCTTGACATTGTGAAGATATGTAGACCCGATATAACAACTTTTCAACCTTGTTGTTTTTTGACCCTGATTTTCAGAACAGCAGTAGACTTATTTTGATTTTTCTCTGAAATTTAATTCAATCTTGTTTCAGTTATCTAACTATTGCGTAGTGACTTTATAATTATCGAGCTATAACGTAACATTAGTATGATATTGCTTCAGCTTTTAAACTTAAAAATTAGTAGACACCAGAAGACAGCACTGTACTCATGCTGCATTCAATACATTCCGTAAAAATAGTGACAGCTTTCTCACAAATATGGAGACAGTAACCACAAGAGGTATCGAATGCAGCATAAATAAAGTAATATTTGAATTTGAACACATCTTTGACAATAGGAGATTTGAAAAAAAATAAAATTTTTGAAAATAAAAAATCTTTAAGAGTTAATGCCATCATTATATTGTCACTGATGTTATTATGTTCCATAATATAATTAATATATAATTAATCAGCAACATTACTGGTGCAGATCTCTGTCTAATTCTAAACATAAATAGTTCTCAGACTAATTTTAAACATAAACAGTTCTCAGACTAATTCTAAACATAAACAGTTCTCAGACTAATTCTAAACATAAACAGTTCTCAGACTAATTCTAAACATAAACAGTTCTCAGACTAATTTTAAACATAAACAGTTCTCAGACTAATTTTAAACATAAACAGTTCTCAGACTAATTCTAAACATAAATAGTTCTCAGACTAATTTTAAACATAAACAGTTCTCAGACTAATTTTAAACATAAATAGTTCTCAGACTAATTTTAAACACAGACTAATTTTAAACATAAATAGTTCTCAGACTAATTTTAAACATAAACAGTTCTCAGACTAATTTTAAACATAAACAGTTCTCAGACTAATTTTAAACATAAACAGTTCTCAGACTAATTCTAAACATAAACAGTTCTCAGACTAATTCTAAACATAAATAGTTCTCAGACTAATTTTAAACATAAACAGTTCTCAGACTAATTTTAAACATAAACAGTTCTCAGACTAATTCTAAACATAAACAGTTCTCAGACTAATTCTAAACATAAATAGTTCTCAGACTAATTTTAAACATAAACAGTTCTCAGACTAATTTTAAACATAACCAGTTCTCAGACTTATTTTAAACATAAATAGTTCTCAGACTAATTTTAAACATAAACAGTTCTCAGAATTAGTCTGAACAAGTCTGAATTTATACTGTCAATTATAAATATTCTACCTAATCATTAATTAATCTGTTTGTATTTATGTATCTTACTTTACCTAGACCTACACAAATATCTTGTCTGTTCTATATCTGAGGTAATACCATCAAAATATAAAATCCAAATAAACTCCCCTGCTATTTAATAACATAAATTTTCACCCTCATCTTAGTCCTTCTGTCAAACATTTAGTAAGCATAAAATATAGTATTAAGGAAACCTAAAAAATATCTCTAAAAAAACAAAAGTTATGCTGAACATTAAGATATTAGAAGACAATACAACAAAAATGAAGTTATATTAATTCAATACCATGCTGGACTGGGGTTAACACAGACAATACCATACTTGACTGGGGTTAACACAGACAATACCATGCTGGACTGGGGTTAACACAGACAATACCATACTGGACTGGGGTTAACACAGACAATACCATGCTGGACTGGGGTTAACACAGACAATATTTCAACACCTTACTTGATAACAACAAGTTCACAATGTTCCACAAATCAACTTGTTAAAGCACAACAGCTACAACTAATTATCGATTTACAAAAACACGAAGCATCTAGCTAATAATAAATATAACATTGCACCTATAGTTCTAGTTCTTACTCAAACCTAAAAAAACCCTATTAATATCATTTTTACCAATAAATCAGCCCTGCAATTAGTTGTTCAGTTTGTAAAACTTTCTTATATAACATTGCACCTATAGTTCTAGTTCTTACTCAAACCTAAAAAAAACCCTATTAATATCATTTTACCAATAAATCAGCCCTGCAATTAGTTGTTCAGTTTGTAAAACTTTCTTATATAACATTGCACCTATAGTTCTAGTTCTTACTCAAACCTAAAAAAACCCTATTAATATCATTTTTACCAATAAATCAGACCTGCAATTAGTTGTTCAGTTTGTAAAACTTTCTTATCTTCATTAACCAATTGATATGACATGTTCATTAAAAATACTAAAAACTGTTCCAAGATCAAGACTAACTTCAAGTTATTATAATTGATTCAGAAATAAAGTACTGTATCACTCCTGGATTTCAGTTTAAACCGGTATCATTATTCAAATCAGATCTATTTTCTATCAGACGTCGGTTGATCAACTTATAGAGTAGGAAGACAGACATGTTTAAAGTTTGTGAATTAATCAAAAAAATTTAAAAATCAAGAGAAAGAAAGATCCTCCCAAATATTGAGCATAGAAGCACTAATAAAATTTACGGAA